CTCCAAACAAAAGACAGAGGGTAGTAGAATGGATATGAAAACAAGACTCATACATATGCTGTCTAGAAAAGACCCACCTCAGATCAAAAGATAGAGGGCTGGCCAAGTGGAATGTTGGCTAAGAGCCGGCTTGGGACACCAGAGGGCCCCGGTTTGGATCCCACATATGAGGGCCAGTGACACTGCCCTCCACAGCTAAGATGTTGAACAACAGCTCAACCTGGAGCTGGGCTGCTGTGAGTCTCTGGCGACGGTGTAGGCTGCAGCTCCTGTGGCAGTGGNATGAGGGTTCCCTTTTCTCCACATCCTCGTCAGCATTTGTTATTTGTTGATTTAGTGATGGTAGCTATTCTAACAGGTGTGAAGTGATATCTCACTGTGGTTTCAATTTCATTTATTTCCTTAATGATTAGTGATGTTGAGCATTTTTTCATATGTCTATTGGCCATCTATATGTCCTCTTAGGAGAAATGTCTGTTCAAGTCCTCTGCCCTATTTTTAACTGGATTGTTTATTTTTTTGATGTTAATGTGTATGAGTTCCTTATATATTGGGTGGTCGGAAAAGTCATGACGTATCTTTTCTAAGTTTTTCATTGCAAAAATGTGTCATGACTTTTCCGACAACCCAATATTTTGGATATTAACCCCTTATCACATGTATTATTTGTGAATATTATCTCTCATTCAGTAGGTTGTCTTTTCATTCTGTTGTTTCCTTTGCTGTGAAAAACCTTAAGTTTAATGTAATCCTGTTTGTTTATCTTTTTGTTTTCCTTGCCAAAGCAGACCTATTCAAAAAGATATTGCTAAGAGCAATGTCTAAGAGTTTACTGCCTAATGTTTTCTTTAGGAGTTTTATGGTTTCAGGTTTTACATTGAAGTCTTTCAATCATTTTAAGTTTATTTTTTTATAGGGCGTAAGAAATTGGTCCAATTTTTTTTGCATGTATCTCTCCATTTTTCGCAACACCAGTTACTGAAGGATATACAATCTTTACCCCATTGTATATCCTTGCCTCCTTTGTCATAAATTAGTCAATTGTATAAGCAAGGATTTGTTTCTGGGCTCTCTATTCTACTCCATTGATCTGTATACCTGTTTTTATGCCAGTTCCATACTGTTTTGATAATTGTAGCTTTATAGTGTAGTTTGATCTCAGGGAGCGTGATACCTCCCCCACTTTGTTCTTTTTCAAAATGTCTTTGGCTCTTGAGGGTTTTTTGTGGTTCCATATAAATTTCAGGATTAGTTGCTCTACTTCTGAGAAGAATGCCATTGGTATTTCAATAGAGATTGCACTGAATCTGTATATTTCTTTAGGTAGTAAGGACAGTTTAACAATATTAATCCTTCCAATCCACGAACAAGGTTAGTTTTTTTTTTGTATCTGATTCATTTTCTTTCTTCAGTGTCTTATAGTTTTTGGAATATAGGTCTTTCACCTCTCTGTAAGCTCCACTCTTTTAGACTAAAACTATTTTCCACACACTGAGAAGAGATGCAGTAGAGAACTGATGACAGCTTTATTCCTCCAAGCATTTATGCATTCTGCTCTCTCTACCTGGATTGCCTTTACCACAATTTTTCTCCTGGAAAAGAC